CCCCCCCCCCCCCGTCCCGCAGCGGATTCCCGTCACCCCGCAGCCCCGGGGCGGGGAGGCACGGCCGTTTCCGCCGCGCCCCGTGCGTCACCGCGCGCGTTCGAAAGCGCGTCCCGTGGTGCCCCGCGCGCGCTCCCGCTGATTGGCCGGGGCGGGCGGCGCCTGATTCAAAGTCGGCGGCGGCGCGCGCGGCAGCGGCTGAGGCGAGCGGTGAGCGGTTGGCTCGAGCCCCGGAGCAGCGCGTCCGGCGCTTCGCCTCTCTCCCGAGTCCCCCCCCCGGCAGGTTTCGCGCGTCCGCCCGCCCGCCATGGCTTCCCTCGGCTCCCAGGGCGGCGGCGCTAAGAAGGAGGAGAAGGGCAAGAACATCCAGGTGGTGGTTCGGTGCAGGTAGGCGCGGCGGCCTTCCCCCGGGCGAGCGCTGGAGCCGGCGCGATCCCTCCGGGTCTCGGGTCCGGAGCGTTTGCTGTGCTGTGCGTGGTGCCGGGCGGGCCCGCGACAGGAGGCGGCCCCGGCTCTGCCCCGCCGCAGTCCGGCGGCTGCGGGGGAAGGGGGCGGCGTGTTGTGCCCCCGGGTACGGGGTTATTAGAGAGTCCCCCGCCTCGGTGCCGCGCCTGAAAGCGCCCGCCCGAGGCGTTAATGGCGCGGTGTGGCGGGCCCCGACAGCCCGCGGGGACGGTGGCTGCTTCCGCAAAATTAACGCGAGGAATAATCTACGTCTTAAGAAGGCAAAAAACTGCAGTTTTCCATCTTGATTCGGTGCGCAGGCAGCGCGAAGCTGTGTGGGAAGGCTAAGGAGAGCTGGGTGAGAGTTAGTGTGACCGATATTCATGACGCAGAAAAAACAAACTGCATTTCTTCTTTCTACGAGATTCTCTGGGAAGCCGCTACGATTCGACAGCTAATAAAACTTTTACATACTTCTTTCGTACAAATTCAGTAATGCAGAGTCTTTGAAATCAGACAAGAAACTATGGGGGTCCACTTCTGAATTATCTTGGTCGCTGAGATTAATTTATTTTTTGGTTTGGTAATGTACTGTAAAACTAGGCTCTCTTTGTAATTTTGAGGTGACCTTAAAGACTGATACTGGCTTTGAAATGCTCTTCAAGTGTTGCTTGTTAAAACTGTAATATTTAAATAAGTATTAATTAACGTTAAGAATAGTGTTCAAAACACCTTTGGAAGTGTGGGGTGTTTTGAGCCGGATCTGCAAATGCTAGCTTACATATTGTTGTTATTAATGCCCTTTGCAATCATTATATCCTCATGATTATGCTTTTAAAAATGAAAAAAATTAAAAGTGACTTTTATTTTTGCAACACAACTAAAGAGCTGCTGAAAGAAATGTGTTGGTGAAGATGCTGACGGAAATCAAGGCTATTGCAAAAAAAAATAATTATTGAAGCAATTGAACTTGAAGCACTGTCAAAAGCAATCATTTTCTTTTTCATCTGATTAGTCTCAATTGTGCTGGAATAGCCTCACCAAGTATCAGTGCATTTTTTAATTAAATATAATGCTCAATGTGACAGTAGTGTCAGGATTGTCCATGGCGTAGTGTTCTGCTTTTGTTGCAGCTCAGATCAAGATATAGTCTCTAAACCCTAAAAATTTTCCAGGTGACCCTTGCTCTTGCCTCTTGTGCAGTTTTTCTTTTTGAATAGAACTTCAGTGTGTTTGAGCTAGTAAATGTTCCTTCCACTTTTCTGTTTTCTTCTGCATCAGTCAGGTTCTACTTATCTTATGGATGGGTAGATAGATGCAATTGTCTTAATTTCCTTCCAAAAGCTGATGTGTCTGAGCTTATCAAAAATGTTTTCAAGTGACACATTCACTATACTTTAGTAAAACATGAATTTGGAAAGTCAAAATGTGTATATTAGTATTGTTAATATGCTTTACACCCGAGGGCACAAGCCTGTGATCAAATGCCACCGTGGCATTCCAGGTTGCTGCTTGTGTAGCGGCTCGTGACAGTGATCTGCATGTGAGCTCCAGCCCAGCTGAATTGTTCCCTGATCTCACAGCTGTGGGCTATCTACCGTAAGGCTCCTGCATTTGACTGGTACGCTGTTATATCATTACAGAGTGGAACATAGTAATTGTTCAGCCTCCTACTCTTTTAAAAGTCACAAAACCGAAGCTGTAACTTGACCCTTTAAACGCGATTTTAGTCATCATCTGTTGTCAGCACTCGTCTTGCACCGAAGTGTCTAGCAGTCTTTCTAGAATCTAACACTTCAGACTCAGTGCTTTGTTGAGGAAGAAATATTAGCCACAAGAGTCAGGAAACTCCTGACACCTCTGTTACCTTTTACTCTGAGTTTTATGTAAAGTTATGTGGACTTTTTTCTCCCCCTAATCCGATGGTTTATCTGTCTTACTGAATTCTGTTCACATTCTATTCAAATGCATCAGCACTATAAAGGCTGCTGTCTACTGTTCTGCTATTAGCAGGGTCTGTTAGTATTTCTGGTGCTTTAGAGTGTTGTCTCATCAGTGAAAGATGTAGGCTTCATTGCTTGTGTAAAATGAAAAAGGAAATATTTAAAGTTAGCTTTATTCACTATTGCATTAACTTTAATAAATTTTTCAAAGGCTCTTATTTATACAACTACTTGGTATCTTTAATCTTCCCCACCTCCCTGTAATTGAACAACATTTTCTAATGCAAGTTAGCTGTATGTGCATCTAAATGATCTTGAAAGTGTTTATGCTTTTGTTAAAAAATACGCATGTAGACAAATTAAAAGCTATAGATACTTGGGTTGTCCCACAGTGGGCGGAAGGAGAAACAAGGTCTGGGAATTGCCAAATTGTGGTAGTTTGTCCTTAAACAGTTAAACAAATTAAATTAAAAGCTTATGTTCCTTTTACCTATTTGTACTATTCTGGATCCTTAAACTGAGTGATGTTACTTTTTGTCAGTTTATATTCTTGTTAGCAAAGGTATCAACCTGATATTCTTGACTCCCACCTTTTTAGGCCTTTTAATGCCTCAGAACGCAAAGCAAGCTCCTATGCTGTTGTAGACTGTGACCAAGCAAGAAAGGAAGTCAGTGTCCGCACCGGAGGAGTGACCGATAAGACGTCAAGGAAGACTTACACGTTTGATATGGTAACTGCTTGTCAAGTGGGGGACTTGTAGTAACTGGCTCAGACGCTTTTCTGCTCTGGTCTGATGACTGTGCTGTGTGATGCTACACATTACTGTATGGATAAATGGATGTGTTGTCTTTGCCTCAACAGGTTTTTGGAGCTCAGGCAAAGCAGATTGATGTATACCGGAGCGTGGTGTGTCCCATTTTGGATGAAGTTATTATGGGCTACAACTGTACAGTGTTTGCGTAAGTAATTATTAACAGGAAACTTTATTTGAATTTTAGTTTCTAGTTACAATTTAATATTTTATTCTCACAGTTATGGCCAAACTGGTACTGGCAAGACCTTCACGATGGAAGGAGAGCGGTCACCCAATGAGGAATATACTTGGGAAGAGGTATATTTTCACTCCTGAGATTTCTCGTCTGTACTATAGTTCAAAGTTAGAAGTTGCAGGCGGCTAAGGAAAACCTATAGTTGATGCCTTCAAATCCTGAAGTGACTTTCCTTAAATGTTTTTAAACTAACAAATGGTCTCAATCATTTATATGAAAATTAAAACTTTACATCTTTAAGCAAGCGTACATGTCTTGGCGATCTTTATGTAGGAGATGATCTTTGTCCAAGGTATTTTTGCTTATATAAAACCAGACTGAAATTTAGCTGAAATTTCACCCCTCACCTCCAAATCTCTTTCAGTACTTCTATGTATTAAATACTTCACTTCACTTTATAGGATCCACTAGCAGGTATAATACCCCGTACACTGCATCAAATATTTGAAAAACTCACAGAGAATGGTACTGAATTTTCAGTCAAAGTCTCTCTTCTGGAAATCTATAATGAGGAGCTTTTTGATCTTCTGAATCCTACTCCTGATGTTGGAGAAAGACTACAGATGTTTGATGACCCTCGAAACAAGGTTAGTGCTGTCTTCTAAAATTTGTTAGCTTAAAGCTTTCAGAATTGTTGAGAGATGTATAAGCATGCGTTATTTTCTGACAGAGGGGTGTAATTATTAAAGGCTTGGAAGAAGTAACTGTACACAACAAAAATGAAGTCTACCAAATCCTGGAAAGGGGTGCAGCAAAAAGAACAACTGCAGCTACTTACTTGAATGCATATTCAAGGTACAAATCTTTCCCATTTCAGAGACTGTTTTGTTCTTGTTTTACTAAACAGGATCTTGCTGAAGAAGTAAAAGATGATGTAGCTAATGCAAACCTGGTATGATCTTGAGGTTGTGTGGCACCTCAGGCTGCCAAATGTGGGTTAGAAAGCCATGGTTAGTTGCATTTAAGTACCCTATTCATATGTGTACACGTAAAACTTACATGGTAGAATAACTTTGTGTATTGAAAGTGTGTGTGCTTTCCCTAAAAAGAGCACGGACACCTAACTTGCAGCAGTGTCATGTAGAGGCAGATAATTTGGCTGTAATGGGATGTCTGTCTGAAATTGAATTCTTTTATAGCCGTTCCCACTCTGTGTTTTCGATTACCATCCATATGAAAGAAACAACAGTAGATGGAGAAGAACTTGTTAAGATTGGGAAGCTAAACTTGGTAAGTGTTTGAACTGAACATATGCAACACTACAGGGCAAGCATTCTTCGGGGTGATTTGAGACAGAACGTGTTCTTCTCTTTCAGGTTGATCTTGCAGGAAGTGAAAACATTGGTCGGTCTGGGGCAGTTGACAAAAGAGCTCGTGAAGCTGGAAATATCAATCAGTCTCTCCTGACACTAGGGAGAGTTATTACTGCTCTAGTAGAAAGAGCCCCACACATTCCATACAGGGAATCTAAACTCACAAGAATCCTTCAAGACTCTCTTGGAGGACGAACGAAAACATCAATAATTGCCACAGTTTCTCCTGCATCTATAAATCTTGAGGTAAATGTAAGCCTGAAAATCTATTCCTAAAATAACAGGCATAAGCTGGAACATAGGAAGTTCCACTCAAATATGAGAAAAAAAACTGCTTCACAGTGAGGGTGACAGAGCCCTGGAACAGGCTGCCCAGGGAGGTCGTGGAGCCCCCTTCTTTGGAGATTTTCAAGACCCGCCTGGATGCAGTCCTGAGTAACATGCTCTGACATGCTCTAGGCAATCCTGCTTCAGCAGGACAGTTGGACTAGATGATCTCTGTGGTCCCTTCCAACTCTAAAAAATTCAGTGAAATTCAGTGAAAATGAATACTATGTTTTGCTAATGATACAAAAATGAGTTAATTTCTCAGCTTGACCTAATGTTACATCTGTTTATCACAGGAAACACTGAGTACACTGGAGTATGCCCATAGAGCAAAGAACATAATGAACAAGCCTGAAGTTAATCAGAAGCTAACAAAAAAAGCTCTTATTAAGGTAAGCTAGATACATATCTTCACAGGTTAAGTTACAGGTTAGGTTTGATTCTGTTAACGTAGCTTTTGCTATGCAGGAATTATGAAGTTGTGGAGAAGTAACTAATACCAGTGCCTTTCTGATGTGATTTTAATCACTAAACTGATGCTTTTGAACTCAGCTGCTCTACTGGTACAGCATTAGTTACTTTGCAGATACTGAAACTGTTGGTAAGAGAAAAACTGGATAGAGAGGACTTGCTACTAGTTATGATTTGTGTATGGATTTCCTGCTTACGAGTTAGTGGAGAGCTGCTCAATGACACTGGACTTTTTTTTCTGGGCTTGCTGCATTAGCAGCTTCATTCCCTAGAAAGCATCTGAATTAAAGTGAATTTGTCACCGAGTCTGAACAAAGCGGCAATGTAAGGCAGCTGACTGCTACTAGAGAAGCTGTGATTCCCATTGCAAGCTGTTATATGCCACTGGGTACGGTTCATATGGGAGGTTTCAATCCCTACATGTATCGAATGGTATGGACTTAAATGGTGCTATACAGAACTTATTTGGAAAAGAAGTGCTTTGCTCCTGTGCTTATGCAAAACTTCCATAGAACATTGTCTTTGTGAAGCATCCATTAATCTAAATCTTGGAAGTAAAGTAGAAATTTTCAGATTTATATGTGATCATTTCTTTATACAGGAATACACTGAAGAGATTGAGCGCCTGAAGCGAGACCTTGCTGCTGCACGAGAAAAAAATGGAGTCTATATTTCCCTTGAAAATTATGAGTATGTCTTCAAAATTTCTATAGCATGGCTAGCAACAAATTTCAGATACTGCTACCTATCTGTACACAGAAATATTCAGATCTATTTTCACACTGGAAAATTTAAGATAGGAGAATTGGACTGGGCAGTTTGTTCTTGAGAAATTAATTATTACGCAGATAGAAGCTTAAAGAGTAGGTTTGTGCTGAGCATTTTATTTTACGTGGAACTTACCATAAGCATGGCCAGGATACAGATTTACACCATGCAGCCTTTCTTTCAGTGGAAGTTCATATAGGAGAGCAAACAGTGTATTTTACCTCCATTTGTAAGAGGGCTAGTTTACACCAAAAGTTTACAATGGAAAATTGTCTTAAATCCTTTCTGCATTAAGTGAAAATTGACTGCTTTTCGTACGTAAGTTAGCAATACTTATTTTTCAAAATTACTGAATGTGTAGTATAAAAACCAGTAGCTAATCTTGAAATCAGCTGTTACTTGACTAATTTGTTTGTTTTAATCCTTGCTTGAGAGCCCTTAATGGGAAATTGACAGTTCAGGAAGAACAAATTGCAGAGTATATTGACAAAATCAGCATCATGGAGGAAGAAATGAAAAGGGTAAGTAATGTTCCTCAACTGTGGGTTGAATTGCCAAAAAATGAAAGAAATCTTTAGGGAAGGGGGGGGGAAAGTTTGAGCAAAGAATAATCAGGAGAGTTTTTGTTCTTAGAGTTCCCTCATTAGTCAAGAGTGGAAGCTTCCTAATACTTGTGAAGTTGAAATACTGTATATGAAGTTGCAGAATACAATGCTGTTGATTGGTTTTTGTTTTTTTTTTTTAAAGCTGTTTTAATGTCTACTACTTTACCTTTCACCTGCTTTGTTGGGTTTTCAGAACAAGTCTGCTTGTAAAATAGTATAATCTCAGTTGGCAGATACCTACTTAGGAGCAAAGAATGAGGGGGATGGAGGAAAAGGTGATGAGCGCCCATTAACAAATTACACAGAAAATGTGAGCTTCTTTTTTAAAAGAAATGCAGATACTAATTTGCTGGAATATGTAACTGCTCTGTTTAATCAGCTTTGCTGACTCTGTTCTTCATTCTCTCTGCTTAGGTTTGTTTAGTGTGGGTTGTTTGGGGTTTTTTTTTCCTTTGTGCTGGAAGAATTTTTTGGCCTTGTGGTTTGAGGGGGAAGCAAGAGACTGTTACAGTAAAAATGGTGCTGTTATGTGATATTTTCAGTGAATACAGGGATTATACGATTCTCTGGCCTAGCTTTCAGACCTCTGAATCTTACAGCTGAAAGTACATTGGTAGATGACAACTTGCCTTCTGGTGTTGTAGCATAATTGGAGAGATGTAAAGTGGGACTGTTGAACTTCTAAAAAGCAGTGTTTCCCTATTGATGTTTGTCTTCCACTTTAGATCACTGAACTATTCACAGTTAGTAAAAATGAACTTGAACAGTGTAAAACAGATCTGCAAATGAAGGAGAAAGAACTGGAAGAAACACAGAAAGATCTGCACGAAACCAAGGTTCATCTGGCTGAAGAAGAATATGTGGTTTCAGCTTTGGAAAACACTGAACAAAAACTTCATGGCACGGCTAGCAAGGTTGTCACAGTTCTTGCACCTAACTGTAACGGTAGTGTCCCATGTTTAGGAGTTTCATGGGCTGTTCAAGGAAGTAATTGTAGCTAAAGCATGATGTGAGTGTGACAAAACCTGAATTTAAGATTGAAAACTAGAATTAGCTCTATAAATTATATTATGATGAAAAGCTACTAAAGATTGTAGGACTTTCTCTGGTAAAACTGATGGTTGACTGCTAAACACACTGATTAGTCTGGAACTACCTTTTCTTCAGGCCAGTTTGTTGTGAGAGTTCCAGTGCTTAGCAGTATTGTCGTAAGTTGTTTTGCTAAATGAGTAGTTTTCTTTACCAGAAACTTATGGCTGACTCTACAAAAGAGTAAGTTATATATAAATGGGATAAAAAATAACAAAAAGCTTTGCAGAGAGATGTGCAGTAATTTGCGCTCACTGAGTGGATAATGGAAACTGTTGCCTTGTCATATCTATATTTTAGAGTACGGTTTTCACGTGTTTGTAGATTTGTTGCGATTATTAAAACAGACTTGATGTAGGGAGAGAGAGTGTCCTGCTAACTAATACTGAAATCCTCTTGCTTGGGTTGAATGTTTACTGTCAAATCTTTCAGAAAAATTTAAGTGGTCAATACTTTTTTTTTTTGTTTACTATTCTGTGATAAATGATATCTTCCTTAAATACTGGAGTTGTCCTTTAATAATGCTCTAAGTTGAAAGTCAGAAGGAATGGTCTCTAGTAGGTAACTTTTTTTTTCCTGTGTTCTAAGACTGTAAATGACATAATATGGGATTCAGAACAGTTGTAACTTGATTAAGGGGAAATACCTGTCTCTCTAGGGGGAGAACTTTTCTGGTAACTCAGAACTGCAGTTGCTTTTCCTTATGGAATATATGATTGACTTCTTGTTCAAAGACTGACTAAAATAACTTTAAAAAAATTGCAGTTACTTAGTACAGTTGAAGAAACCACAAAAGATGTGTCTGGTCTGCATGCGAAACTGGACCGTAAGAAGGCTGTTGATCAACACAATGCTGTCGTCCAAAACAGATTTGCAGGACAAATGAATGTTTTGTTCAACAAAATACAAGATTCGGTTAGTGAAAACAGTTTGAAGCAGCAACAGATGTTGACATCTTACACAAATTTTATAGGTAAGTATAATACTTGTGTCAGTATGTCATCCTGAATCTGTGCAACAGTAGTTGCAAAGACAGTTTCCTAAAAGATCTATTTTAGTAAGTGGAAGAGGCTTTATTTTAAGCAATGTAATGATTACAGTTGCACCAGTAATAATGTATCTGGGGTGATCAACAGCTTTCCTATGCTGTAAGAGGCAATAAGGTGACAGTGGAACTCTGGGGGGGAAAAAAAATAATTGTAATGCTTCTTGATTTCTCTCGTAGGTGACCTTCTGTCTACCAGTTCTTCAGCAGCTAATATTCTTGCATCAGCTGTAGCAGCATCTTTTGCCTCTGTTAAAGAATTGGTGTCTGCTGAAGTTTCTCGCATGTCTGAAAAAATAGCAGAACATGAGAATCTGTCACTTGGTTGTAAAGCTGAGCTGCTGGAATTAATTGTTAGTAAACTTACATACTCTTATGTTACTTAATATATGAAACTGCCCTTGATCAAAAGGGGTTCTGTAAATATTGTATAGGGTCTTTTCCTGATGTTCTCTATACCTGTCTCTGCTTCATCACTTTGCCATGATTATGTCCCTCCCCACTTCCCCTCCTGTGTCACCACCAGAAGCTGTAATACACTGTATAGCAAATAATATTAATAGCAGACTATGTGGATATGTATATGGATAGCTTCTTACAAATGTAGATGAAGGAGCAGTCACATCCTGGTTTACTTTTCTTTTTTTTTTTTAACCCATTCTAGGAGGAACATACATCTGGATTAGGAAGAGCTTTAAATAGCTTGACACCAATGGTAGAATTTGTCTTGGGGCTAAACTGTCAGTTTCAGAGTAACATGAAGAAATATTCTAGTGTGGCTGACAAGGTAATGCACATAACTGGTCTCTTACCTTGTGCTCTTCTATATGATTTAATTTACAGGTAACCCTTAGGTGATTTTTCTGTGATGTGTCAGTGTTTCCATTTTTGTTCTGACCTTTTCTCCTTTACTCTGTACCATGAGTTCTACTTTTTAGCTCTTTCTTTCAGACTTCTTTTCCACTTCTCTGTGTGGTGTATTTGCTTATTAGCTATATTGACACAACTTCTTGCCTAAATGCCACAGAAGAAGAATAAAAGATGGATGCTTAAAGCTATATGTAACAAATATTTGATAGTATCCTTAATACAGTCTCTCCTATATTTTAGAAAGCTAAAATAACCAATTTAGACATATTTAGCGCATACAAGTCTTACCACTTCCAGTTTCTCTTGCTGTCATACAAAACTTTCTCTGTAGTCACTTTGATTCCTGAGAAATATGATAATGTATCTTGTTAGCAATAAGCTTAAGTGCAGATAACACTGCACTTAAAAAAATTCCTGTGATTCAACTTCTAGTCCTAGTCTGTCTCATGATGTTTATGTAGAACAAACCTCGCTCTTTTGTTCTTTTTTTTGTTTTATAAAAAACAAATCTTTCTTCCTGGTGATGTGTTGCACTAACTGAAAAATTTCTCCCTCCTGTCAATTACAAGTCATATGAAATCAGCTCTCCTTGTCTAGAAGCTTTTTATTGCATTTCAGACTTAGCAAATAGTCCATAGCTTACCAGCTCTTGCCTCCTGCTCTTGTCTTAACCAAGTACTTTGTCTTGTCTTCCTGTTTTGTCTACTTCACATGCCAGATTGTGTCTTTGGTAAAGCCCACACCAAGTTCCAGTCTGTTACTTCAGATTGCTCTAAGTGTTATTTTCCAGTTTTTATGCGCAACACTTAGTGCCTTTGACAATTCCCTTGGGGTAGAATTTGTTTCTATATAAATTATGTTTCTAATATAAATAACCGGGAAAAGTATCTCGTTCTTACCCAAAGACAAATATCTAACTCTAAATAAAACTTTTTTCAAAGATGGAAGATCATAAAAGGGAAATGGATGCCTTCTTTGGAGATCTTTCTCTCACTCTGAAAAAATTACAGGAAGAAACAACCAGTGCTTTTGCTCAGCTTCAGAATGATTGCGAGAACTTAAAAGAAGAAGTGGAAGTGACGAGGTTGGCACATACAAAGGTATTCTTAGAGTAAGAAGAAACCCTAACACCAAGTGTGATGGCTTGCTTTAATTTAAACTCTTTGTAGCAGTAAAATGTTGTACTTGCTTCAGAAGAAATGTTAGTAACTTCATGATCCTAATTCTTTTCAGCCTTCGGGCTGCTTTAAGAAGCTTATGTAGGAAGGTAACAAAAAAAAAATTACCCTTGCTCTGAGTATGTCCAGTACATCTGCCTTTATATGCATGTCCAAAAGCAAAGTGTCTATATCTTCTCTACACAGAAATTGTACCTTCAGATGTAGAATGGCAAAGCTCTTTTATTTGCTGCGTTTTTAGTAAAGTCATTCAAATACCCTTTAAGAATGTTAAAAAGTGCAGAATAATAATGAAATATGTGGCATTTTTCTTTGTAGAGTGCAGCTGGATTAATGTCGTTGCTGCAAAGCCAGCTTGAGCTGTTTGCTCAGGAGACTCAGAAGAACTTAACCAACGTACTTGCAAAAAATGGAAGTGTGAAGACCACCATTGCTGCTGTGCAAGAAGATGTTCACTTGTAAGAAACAGATCAGTTTTGGTGTATGTTGATGCAAGATAAAACTATGAATGAAGGGGACTGCAAAATAGATGCTCTTTGTATTTATATGCTTATAAAAATCTTCTGGACAAGACTGTTACAGCTGAGTTCTGGCACAGAATGTAGATGATAGTTCACTTTTCCTTAGAGTAAAAGGTAGCTCTACAAGGCTTTTCCTCAAATTTGTCTCTGGAGCATATTGCAGATAAGAGACCATGATTTTGGGAGCAATATGCTGATGAACAACCCTCAGTGCGGTTGGACTTCACTTCAGAACTTCATATCATAAAGGCTTAGCTTGAAGTAAAATAGTGTATCTACTGCATATGCTTCATTCAGTTGCAGACTGAATAACTAAGGCCTTGCCAAAGTTGCTGGGCTTTAGTTTTGGGGGGTGGTGTTTGGGGTGGTTTTTTTGTTTGTTTGGGGTGTGTTGGGATTTAGCAAACCTACTGCTCCGAGTGCTGCAATTTGTAAGTTTACTGAATAGAGCCACATTATAATTAACTGGTTTGATAGAACCATACTACTTCACTGGTTCTGGTCTTAACATATTCTACACTTAGGAATACTTGAAATTCACTTTTCAAAAATTTCTGAACTGTTACGAATATGTTGTTGCAGGAAAACTACAAAGCTAGTCAGCAGTACAACTTCCAATCACAGCAAATTTATTGCATCTCTGGATAATTTCTCTCAAGAGCTCAGAATCATAAATAATGAAAACAAAATGATGCTGGAAGAATCCACTGACCACTGTCAACAACTTCTCAGCAATCTCAAAAATGTGTCTCTGGATACTGATAAATGGGGTGAATTTACAAGTGCTCAGGTGGTTAACTTTGCTGATCGGCAGCTGTCGTCTTTCACTGATGACAAAGAGCAACTTCGGTGTTTACAAAAGGTACCTATAGCCATTTGCAGTCTAATAACACATTCTGAAACAAACATTTACAGCAGAATTTGGGCAGGGTGAAGTTCTCATGTAGTCAGAACAAAATTGGGGTGTTTTTGAATTACCACAGACTCATGTTACTCAGCTTAAATAGATGTAATTAAAGGAAACTAAAAGTTTGTTTAGAGAGGAAGACTTTGAACTTAAAGTGCAAGTGATCTCAAAAAAATGATGTCGTGATGAATCCCATGTTGCTAACTCCCCTTCTTAATTTGGGCTTTTTACATCTTTTTAGTAGTACATTTCTCTATTTCTAAAGTAATGTCCTTGGGAGATTTGCACAATAATCAAATACAGACTGTATTTGAGGATGCAAATTACTTTATTGGTCAAATGGATTTTTAAGAGAAAGCATTAATTGTAGGTATCTGCTAGTTCTTCCCACCCTTCTTGTTTTATTGTTCTAATAGGTAACGAAATAGCAAAATGTTGGATTTGCCTAACTTTCAGGGGGAAAAAAAAAAAACTGTTAAAACATTTGCAGTTTCAAGGCTCTCCTGTATTTGTTATACCTATTGAGCGCTATAGATGTTTCATTCCAATGGGAACGGCTAAAAATACATGTTTTCCTTTTCCCCCTACAAATGCATAAATCTTCTGGTGCTTGTAGGATTTTCACTTTTGCTTGAATATCCTAATTCTGTGGAGGGTTGTGTATTGAAGCATGAGGAGTCTGATCTGAACCAGATGGCATCATCTCTTTTCTTATGACTAGCTTTATAAAATGATCGTACTTTCTAAGAAATTGACTCTCTTCTGAAGATAGCTCTCGAAATGAGTGTAAAACTGGCACTGAAACTTCTCAATTTGAGGTCTCAGTTGTTTCGTTTCATGTCACGCCACTAATCACACACCACATCTTAGAAAGGAGGCCATAATTTTACCTTTCCTGTTAAGTTGGTGATTTGGTTGGGTGTGTTTTTTGTTTTGTTTTTCAGGAAAATGAAGAAAACTGCAATAAAGCAGTAGCTGAAATTGCTGACCATATTGGTAGACAAAAGGCTGCTGAGGAGAAGGTACTAAATGGCCTTCTTGATCAGATAAAGGTTGATCAGGAGATAGGTCTGGAGCAGAAGCTGGCACTTAATGACGAAGCACAGCATGGACTGACTCAGGTTAATGCTTTCCTGCAAGAGGACCTTAAAGTGGATACTCCAACAGGTATTTAAAATAGGTTGGGGACAGAATGGTCTTATAGGAAGCAATTTGAGTTGCAGAATTTAAGCGAGGGTTAATGGGGACAGAATGTAACTAGCAACCTCACACCATTTTTAAGGTGCATGCTAAAAATGATGACTGAACAAAGCATGATTTCTCCATTGAGTTAGTGTAAAATCAGGGATCTGTAACGAAAGCAAATGCTGAAAGTGTTTAATAGTGCCTTTCACTAGTGTTCAATCTTCATTAAAGGGACAACTCCACAGAGAAGAGACTACTTCTATCCAGTCACGCTTGTGAGAACAGAACCCCGGGAACTTCTACTAGAGCAATTAAGGCAAAACCAATCAAAGCTCAATAATATGCTAAACGGTGTGACAGGGGAGGTGGAAGAGGATGCAGATCAGGTATGTATATGAATGGCAAATGAGGCTCTTCAGTGAAGATTTCACATCTTTAGGAGTTCTTTCATGCTGTTGTGGAAAGCTGACTGGAGCCTCAGAGCTGTTGCAGCCTTTGTGTTTCACAGGGTACCAAGGAGTCATGTGTGCTGAGCTTTTAGCAAAAACAGTACCTTGAAAAATACGATTTTAATAATTTAGACACTTCTGTTTTTCAAAAATGCGAGTGCCATGACTTTTATAGGTGTGATCATGCTTAGTAAATTCACCTATGAAATTCAGACATTAAATGCGTCTTTCTGATAACTTCTTATGTAGGACCTGTTGGAAGATGAGGAAGTGCTGCGAGGATCCTGTGAAAGCCTTGCTAGTGACAAATCCTTCATGGATGCAAACGTATGCTGCCACACAAATGGTGGCATTCCCTTTTTCCAGGTAACTTCCACAGATACTCTAAGCTGTGTATTCAAGAGTGAAGGAAAAGTATTATTCTGTGATAGTGCTGTAGTCTAAAGTCACCTACTGTCGTGTAGGGTGGTCTTACAACTTCTCTAGATTCTGTAGAATATGCTTTGTGAACTTGAGCTAAAATAGCAGTACATTCTAATAGCGATTAACAGCAGATAAAATAATGAAAATTCCTGACAAGCTGGAGAGACAGTAGAAAAAAACTCAGCAAATAATCCTACATGAAAAAAGTCATAATTTGCTAGACATAAACACATGGGTTTTAATGGAAAAGCTGAAATTAGATGTGGAGTATTTCCTTAGAGGCCAGATAAATATTAACATTCTTGGTTCTTCACTGATTTGTTTGTTTGCTTGTTTTTTTTACTATCTTCCTTCCCTTTGATCCTCTTGCTCTACCAATGTATCTGTGTAAACTTCTGATATATTAGGTTTGGATTTGGCTTGGGAGGTGGGGAGGAGTGTATTATCATGGATTCCTTAAAAGCAGCTGCTGAACTTCCAGATGTCTACAATAAGCCTCTTTAGTAAATGCGATATTAGGAACCTTTTTCGGGAGTTCTACCAACTTTTTTTTTTTTTCCTTGGAACATGTATACTGCATTGTACATGAGCAAGTAGTCTTTAATTTCTTTGTATCCTCTTAACGTTGGGCCATTTTCTTTAAATCCCAGCACAAACGGAATCACAAAAAGGATAAAGAGAACAGATCTGCAGCTACAGTGGAGAAGAACAAAATAGAGGATATGACAGAACAGTTTCTTCCCAAATCTAAGCCTCCTTTGAGATCACTGAACTAAGATGTACCCACTGCAGATCCTTGTTTAGAAATACTTGTCTCATTGTCTACTGAGCCATGGCTTTCACTGGTTATTCTTGGTCTTCGTATATACTGATATATTGATGGGAGGTTGGATCAAAAGATTGGCCTGCCGGATGTCCTGCCTTTGTCCCATTCTCATATGCTATAGCTTGCAAAGTGTTAACAGACTTTTTTAAAAAAATACAAAACAAAACCCTGCAGATTATGGTGCTGTATGTTAAATAGATTTTTATGTTGTCAAGTAAGAGATCCTTTTCTGTTTCTCAGTAAATTTAGAACAGAGCAGAAAGGGATGTGGAAAAATGCTTTGTCAGCATTACCAGCTACCATTTTATTTTTTAATTAACTGTAAATAAGTGTTCTGGTTTTGTACCTGCTTTTTAGTCTGATTCCTGTTTCTATGAAGTAGATAGCTCTCTTTTGACTGGGATACCTCCAATAAATCATTGATTATGTGGGAGAAAAAACTGTATAAGGACCTCCTTTGGAGCAGGACAAGCTCACGTGACTTTCATCTTGTATTTCCAGGTTTAATTTAGCTAAAACATTAGTAGCTATGTCATAAGTCTTGTGCTGTCAGAAAAGGATTGTTTCTTCCCTTATTTCATAACAGACAATTGCTTTATTTTGGTGCCTCTTCAGTACATGAAAGCTAGCCTCACTGCTGGGTTTTGGGTTGTTGGCTTGTTTTTGTTTTGAACCCCGCTGTTCTATCTTCCTCTTGACTTGCAGCTGTGATATCTTGCCTTGGATATGATTTTGTCAACCACAGCTGACGTATTATAAACTGGCAGCGTTTCTTTTGAGATGTAGATACTTGACATTAAAACATGCAAACCTGGTTACAAATCCAGCTCCTATGCTGTATAATAGTAAATTTCATTGAATTTAATTTACATTGAAGCACTATTCTTAGCAAATTATCAAAACATTATTTAAGAGATTGCAAGCCAGATATAGAAAAATGAATAGTCTTAGGTTGACCTTTCTTCCAGTGGGTGGTTCATGTGTCTATTTGCCTTTGAGCACGTCTGCCAACTAGAGCTGCTTTGGGCACATTGTGGTCTTGCTGGTAGAGACAGAAAATGTAATATGAATTATGCCCTTGCACCGACTCTCTGAACTCTAACATGAGACCGTTAATCAGTTGTGTAAGAGACTTGAGGCAGTGGAAGCTGCAGAACCGTTTCCTTCGGAGAGCGTTTGGTGTACTGTCCAACTCTGGCACCAGAAACTTAATGGACTTGAGAGCTGATTTGGTTTCCCTGGGTATAGGAGCAGGCTGCTTTCCTGATAACTGGGAGCCTTAACAGCTGTATGAAATTCATGGAGTGCTTGCATTGTGCTTTCTCTTTTTTTGAAGTGCCCCTCAGTCAAGTTGCCTTTTGGTTTGCAGCACTGGCATGGCGGATCACCGTTTCATTGCCCTGGTGCCCCAAGGTCACAGCAGCAAGCCGAAGAGGATGAGAAGTCCGATAGTGGAAGCTGTCCGGGTTCTCCAGTCTCCTCTCCCACTAGATGGCTCTAACACTAAAGCCTTAGTCCTCAGTACTGGCCACTAACCAGGATTCCAAAGTAAGCATTTTGCCAAGCTTTTTGTCAAACATCTGTTAAAAGAACAGGTTTCAAAAACTAATATCAAATTCATGCTTCTGTGAGGATAATTCTATACTCAAGCTTGGGCAAAAGGTTACTTTAGGAAGAGCTGTGTTTGAGAAGATGATGACCCAACTGCTCTCTTGAGCTTTGCCTGGGGCTGAGGGACACTTTTAGTATCTAAATTCTGTCCTGACCTGCTTTCTGGATTCCTCACCACTGGGCACTGCCTAAGCAGAAAGCAGTGGCTATTGTTTGGGTATATTGTACAATGTATGATAGAAGGAGATAAGAAGAGTAAGAAAAATAAATTGAGAGTTGTTTCCTATACACAGTCACTGGAGTGGTAGGTCTGACCTGCAGAAAGGGCACAGCCCAGGCCAGTTTACCTGGTGCGTTGGGTTTGTCTTGCTGTGAGGCATCCTTTAAAGAAGAGCAGGGAGCTGTTTCCACATAATATACAGCTGAATTAGTCTAGCAAAGCACAAGGGAGAGCTGTGGCAACTGGGGCTGTAGTTTATGGCAGTGTTCTAATTACCCTGATGAGTTTTTTTTCAAATTCTGGATTAGTGGCCAAGTGGGACAGCTCCGGATTTAAGGAAAAATCCAGGAGGGTGAATGCAGTGTGGGGAAATGAAATGAGGAAAAAGGGGAATTAAAATGCATGTAAAGGGGGCATGCAGAGACAGTGATAAGGGGGCCACAGGAAGCATGGATAATCAGAGCTAGCAGCTTGGTTTTCAAGTGAGAAACTAGCAGTAGGAGGATAATGGAGGAAAGGAAACTTCCTGCTACCTCCTGGAAGCAGCACTTACTGCATCAGAGCTGCTGGGAGATGCAGTGTTTGCTTGAAGAGGGAAAGGACTGAGGTGACCGGCTGCTGCTGGTTGCGGCTTTATTTTGGGTATCAGAAGCAACTGTTTGGGGCTAGAGAAGGGCAAGGAGAGGGTGCCTAGCTGCTGACTGCCTGTGAACAGGCAGAGGGGACAAGAGGAAGCCTGTAAGTCTCTGGGGTGATAAAAGAAGGGGGGGAAGCTAGGAGGAACTGGAAAAATAAAATTGCAGTTTAACGTTCCTTTTCCATCAAAAAGAGATTGAAGGGGAAAAGAGTGTTTTAATGTTCCAGAGCATTAACAGGAAAAGAGAAATCAACTTTAAAATATATAGTTGGTAAATATATAATTTTAAAAGAAGCATTTACAGCCATTTGACTACTAATTTTTTTTTTCCTTCTTAGAAACTACTTTTTATGGTAGAGGGCAATACTCTATAAACTGTACACCCACCCAGATAGTTACTTTATAAAGTTAAATACCAATAAATCATGCTAGCTCTGCATTCATAGTGCGCTATATGAGACTTTGAACTTGACTAGTGCATTTTCTTTATTAAAAACGATTGAAATGTAAGAATTAAATAAACAGAAATATGACATAAAAGCACATTAGATTTTTCAGGTCTTTCCAGATGTAATAATCTACAGTTGTTGATAACATAGATATGTTTGACTATAATTTTATTCTGATGATGTCCAGAGTGCTAAAGCTACTCTGTGAAGATTTTTTTCATGTGATAAGGAATTTTATTTTCTCTGGCAGAAGTTAATGTTTAAATTAAAAAATTATTATTAGCCTAATTAACACAGAAGTTTTGCAAAGTGAAAAATAGCAATTAGCAGGAAAGAAGATATGGTCTTTTTTGTTTAGTATGTGTCATAAATGCTAAGGGATCAAACACATGGTAAGATATTTCTCCCCAGCCCCTGGAGCAATAACAACAAATGGTGCTTCTCAGAGGACCTGTTTCCCCACTGCACGAGTCCAGTCTTAAATTGGTCTAATTTTGCTTGATTTATACTAAAGTAATAAAGTGAAGGATCAGATTCTCCACTTCTCAAAGTACATACTGAGTTGATAATGCTGCTTAAGCAATAAAAAAAACCATCTCAGGCCCTGTTTGGTGTCTATGGCCAAAAGATTTCGTGGTAGTTAGAAGGGTTTCTCTGGGCCAGCCTGGAAGGTGGTCTCTCAGGGGTACCTCCAGCACACTGCCTTCCCTGCATTGTGAAATGACTGTGGGGTTTGGGGTTCGAAGATGAGTCCCAGTGGACACTCACACTGGTCGCAGTGGCCATGGTCCCACACGGGCGTCCCCAGGCATCATGTGCATCACTTCCGAAGGCCAGCACAGACATCCCCTGTCTCCCAGAATGTCATTTCTTGCAGTTTCATGCAGAATTTGAGCTCCACTGCTCCCACCTTGGAAGCAGAAACTTCTGAATGTGTTTCTGAGGGAGTAAATTTCAGTATTTCCTTTTTTTTTTTTTTTTTTTTCCTTCACAGAAAAGCTTAAATAACTCCTGTCATACATAAAGACTGGTTTGTGAAATTGGTTTTTTACGTTTCAATTACCTTCCCCTAATGCTTAAACCAAAGCATAAGCAGCATGATCATTACATTCAGAAGCTAAGGGAAACGAAGAAGTGAATCACTTACCGTTTGTTATAGCCACCATGTTCTATGATTTAATTAAAATAGACATTAATTTCAAAACCATTCAGCTATAGATATATTCTCAAATGGTTATAACGTAATAATGATAGGCGCCAAAATTTTGCTCATTCGCTCTCACAGTTTATTTTAGGAAACTCAGTCCAGCAGGATGAACCTTGAATATACAAATTAATGCAAGGAAGGAAATTTTATGATGTCTGTTAGTTAATACAGAAGCCAATCTTATTAATCATGGATTTACAGAGGGCTGTTTTATTAGATGTTAACCATAGCTTATGTTGACAATTGATTTTCATTGTAGGACAACTAAATTTATTATTTGTAATAAGATAAAGATAATTAAATTGACTTTATAAAGGTTGCTGTCATAAATGGTAGTGTGAATAGCAAACATAAAACTGCTTTAGCAGCAAAATTTCAGTTAAGCGATAGGTGCTTTCTTTCCATTACATTTAATAGTCCCTGAACATTTTTACCCTGTATTTTATTTTCCAGAGTTTATACTTACTGCTGTGAAAACTGTTGGGGTTGAAGCCTCACTTTCAGTTTATTTTCTTTCTAATAGAACAGGATCAAAACATTTTTAAAGTTATAGAAGTAAAACAAAATAAAGCACTGTGTACAAATGTGTTATGCAATGGAGTTTGGTCCTTCTCAGATTTGTCATTAATTTATTCAAAATAGTATGTTGAAAGAGGTGTTGGATCTACAATAAAGTCTGATTTTTAGGGGGGTTTAAGTATTAATTAATAATTACTTTTTAAGTTAATTTGGATCTTGCAAAAATGAAATTATTCAGAACTTATTTAATCTTTTTTAAGCGTATTGGTTTTACAATGTGTATCTCTCTACCCCTTAATACCAACCATCCAGGTACAATCTTTCTAAAAAGTGGAGGAATACAGCAAATGTTAGAGACCTTGGAAAAGCAGCTCAAGTAATTTCTTCACACCTGCTGACAGTACATTCCTGAGCTTTGGCAGTGTAGGCACCAGCCAGCACTGAAGTAACTCCATCAGGGTGCTCACAGTGTATTTTTACTGTAACGGTAGTCTCTGATTTCTAGTTCTAATTCACCACATCACAGGCTTGTTGCTTGTCGCTGCTCCTTTGGCGCTTTAGGACCAGTCATGAAAGGCAAGAGGGAGTGCTTTGAGAAGACCTTTTTAAACTGTGGTGTAAGACTGAGTGTTTGGAAGGCTGGGTGCCCTCTCGTGCCCTGCTCTCTCCAAAGTCAGGGGAGAGAGGTGGGAACCTCAGAGGTGACCCATTGCTGGGTGCCCTGCTTGTTCCTCTCCGCTGTCTACATGGGAACCAACGAAGGTAATGATTTTAACTTGGATGCTACAAGTGCATAGATGAATCTGGGATAAGCATCACTGACTTTGAATTTTCCTATCATGTTTTTTTTAATGTTAAAGACGTTTATTGAAACATAAAATACAGATGCCTTGGCTGAATATTGACTCTTCACAGCTACCTCAAGCTGTACTGTTGGCCACCTTCAGGCATTATAATTGGCACTTTCCGATCTCTGTGTGTGCATTTGTAGTGAAGGTGCTGAAGCCATTGCAAGAATCTGATATTGTCTGGTTTTAATACGTCACTTAATCTGCTCAGGACTAAGCCAAGGCAGACTCATTCTTCAGGCAGTTTCCATTTTGATGTAGTATTTACTTTAAATGAAAGGCCATGATCCTGTTCAAAGACATGATTTCCCCCTCTCTCCCCTGCTGTCATTAGA